ACAAACTGAAGAAGAAGGTAGTCAGCCACAACTTATAGACTTTCATTATGAATTTAATGAAAATGAAGATGGAACTCATGACTGTCAGTTTGTTGTATTCTCACCATTCAATGAAGTCGCTAAAGAGAAAGAAAATCCATTACGTATAAGATTTCAAATCTCTGAACCAAGTGATGATTTCAAAAATGTTTTCAATTATGATGCAATGCTTCCGAGGAAAAAATGAATTTTCAAAGATTGTAACACCTGCATTTGGGATAGAAAGCAAGCTATATTATATTCAAACTTAAGTAAGGGAGTTGAAAATGAGTTCATTGGTCATACAAGAACTACACCACTGCCAAATCCTAAATACTATAAATTAACTGGCTTCAATCGTGCGTTTTGGATAGACATGTTTCTCCACTCATGACCAAAAACTGCCCAGTGTTCTTACCTCCAGACCATAAGGACTGTCTCTACATTGAAGCACAACTCTTAAACTCTACCATCGCAGTATTGTAAATGACCACATGGGCTTCGCCCTTGCCGCTAGCGGCTTATTTTTATCACGAATGACCTCATTGCTGACAAAAATAAATGACACTCATTATTTTTCTCATTCATGACCTCAGAACTTAAGCTTTCTTATGAATGAAGTCTTAGTCTGAATAGAAAAGTTAAACTTCTCTTCAAAGCAAGGTTGACATGACTTACATAAGTCAAATCCAATCTCTTGACCGTCATAAAGTGCTTTGTAAAGTTTCATTAAACTGAACTCAGAGTCTTTGTCATATGTTCCTTGCGGAACCATTAAACCTTTATCTTCATCATAGAAACACTGAAACAGAGTCAGGAAACATTTCATTAGCGGTTAAAGCAATAACATCTTGCTTCACGCCTTTCATTCTGCAGTAAATGCAACTTCATTTAAATCATTCGTGAGTAAGTCTATGTAAGTCTTCTTTCCATAAAATATTGACTTGTATGCTAAACTTTTGTTTATCTTTTGTGATTTCTGCAAAGTCGCTATGAAATTGACCAAGGTTTTTACCAATGAGAACTCTTCCATAACGTTTCTCAAACTCTTCAGCTAAACGAGGGATATCTTCATTGTAGAGATGCATACTGTTCCGTATCGCTATAAAAGATGTCCATTCCTAAGTCCTCAGCAGTACAGAATACTTCACACATTATTCTCTTCGACATAGACAGAATGTTAACACCAAGTGGACAGAAGTTAAAGTGTCTGCAAATGCTTTTTCGTTAGCTTGAAAATAGTTTTATCTGAACCATCCAAACCTTCGAACTTCACTATATGGTTGTAGTTTCTGATGGCATATCTTATAGCATCTTTGTCATTTACTATGGTTATTTTTGACTCAATAGGAGATAGAATAGTTTTGCCATAAATACTGTTCAGAATGAGCTTTATATTTTCTTGCAAAGGATTTCCTTCTTCTTTCTTATACTTTAACCTTAACTCAAACAACTTCTTTACTTCATCTCTTATTCTAATATCTCTGTTTCCATCGTAATAGTATCCTTGCAACACTTCACATTTGACACCTTGATATTTTATGAGGTCTTGTAATGTTATATGGTCAACATACATTAAACAGCAAGTGTTTGAACTTTCTGGGAACGTTAAGTTTCTGGATTTAGTTCAGGGTCACAAACTATTAAAGGAAAGTGTCTATGTATTCCAATCTCTGTTATCTTAATGAGAACAAAGAAGCCAGACATAAACTTTTCACCAATGGGTTCCTTTTGGTCGTCATCGAATAAATGTCTCATGAGATACTCTGTGCTTAACATTTCTTTCTTCATAACCTTTGGAATACCTTCTAAAGTATAAAGTCTTGCTATAGCTGATGGATATAATGAAACAGCGTCGAAGTCAGCAATGAGTTTCTTTTCGCTCTTTTGTTTAATGTTATCTGACAGCATACATCTTCCACCTTGAATACAGCGTGAAATAAATTCTTCTTGGTTTATTTGAGAGGTCATATAAATTTCCATTCGGGAAGTACACTCTGGTTCTCAAACAATTGTTTAGCAATAGAACAAATACTAACGTAGTCATAAACGTTTAAATCAAATTCTTTCAATATGTCATTGCGGAACTTAACAAACCTTCTCTTAAAATTTCTTTACATCTTGTTTGCAATAAAATGTGCTATACTTTTCTAAGTCGAAGTGGTTTTCATCTATTCTGCAACCTTTGATGGAATCTATGTTTTTCATGAATGTATCTGCATCCCGGATAAACTTACATGCTTCAGAAATGACACCAGTTCAGTTGTCATTTTGCTAACAAACAACTGCTGTAGTAGTTGTATGGAAATACTTCTTTCGGTCCTGTTTGTAAGTTAAACATAGCAGGAAATAGTTTAAAGCTTTTATTTATAACACTGTAAGAGTCTTTTATAATAATTGCCCTTCCTTTATAAAAGCCATGTTATTTGCATTGTTCGTGAACCTTTAATGATGGGAGTTCCTTTCACTTCTGTCATGTGTCTTAGATGAAGTTTATGTCATAACTGAGGTTATGGAAATATATTAAACTCTTGTCAGAGAAGTCGCTCCAAAAATCTGTTGCAACAGTTCTGACCCCAAATGCTTTTCATTCACTGAACCTCTTCACTGTCATAACAGCATGTTAAACAAAGCTTTATGAAAGCCATCGGTACTGCACTCAAAGTCAGCAAAGAAAACTGTGCTCAGGAATGAACTTGCACTTATTTTTATTTACTTCTTTTGACTGGCTTTTCTTCTTCAGTTGTACACAATACTTTGGAGCATATGTCAAATCTTTAAATGGTGCAAGGTTCTGTTTATAATAAGTCAGTCGTATATGTGAAAAGTTCTCCATAAGAAATAGGTTCGAAATATTTGCACTCCACATGTTTTCATAACATCCCATAACGTGTTGTTCTATCATAACGAACTACATATATTGTTCTCTCTCTTTGTATAAATCTTCATCTGTTTCTCAATGTTCATTCCACCACACTCCTTCAAGATTTCTATTATTAGTTGCGAATGAAATATGTTGTCATTGGTAATCTTTTCGTTTAGCATGTAGTGGGCTTCAACAAGAAGTAAGTCAATATTCGAACAGTTTCACATTCTTTTGGTATGTATCTCTTTTTTCATTTATGTCTTGAGTCATTGAAATAACCAATTGGTAACATTAAATGCCTATACCTGTTTGCGTCCAGAAATTTCTTGTACTTTACTATTGAGGAAAGTCTCTAACACGAATGACTTCTCTCATGTGCGTCAATAGTTTCTTCATTTACTCCAGCCTGAATCAAGCATAAACGAAAACAATTGTCTTCTGTCATATAGTGTTGCAGTTCTTTTGTTCAGTTCATTGAAGATTTGGTAGCGCTCAAGATTTATAGGTAATGTGCAAGATACTTCCAGAACTGACCGCTTCTCTTTTTATAAAAACTTCTTTTCACCATTATCTTTCCAAAAGCTTCTATAAGTGCTGGGGTTTCCTTGGCTTAAGAGCTTTCAAAATGGCTTTCTGGTCATTTGTCAGTGTGCTTTCATCTCTATATGGTCTCTTTTTTGGTTTGCCTTTCTTTACATCTGACATCGTAAGCCTTCATATTCTGTTAAAATTTCATACATCTTTATTCGGTAAGATTCTTTAATATGTTTGTCAAGAAGAAGTCATAGTTGTCATTTCAACAATATACCTTGCAGCATTTGCTTCTATCTCTGATATTTAAAGTTCTTCCTTCCAAGGAGCTTGATGTAGTAATTTTCCAATATTATTGAGGTTTAAACGTAGAAACATTCATACTTTTCCACCAAGTTTATAACATTTACCATCCATCTTTGTTGGGAGTTTATTTTATCTTCTCTAAGAGTCTCATGAAAACCTTACCGAAAGTTTGTGTAGTAGTCTCTGTTTGGTTCATCTAAAGCTTTCGATGTTAAAGTCAATGAGTCTATTGCCTGTTCTTTAACATTCCTCTCTTCCTATTCTCTTCATCTTTCTTTAACCATCTCTCACCTTCTTTTGGTTTGTCGTCAATGGAACGAAGGACATCTTTAGCTTTGCGAACTTGTTTCTATACGCGCTCTTAAACATCTCTCTTCTCTGTTGTTTTCAGTGTGTCTGTTTCTCTTCTTCTGTTGTTTCACCAACGTTTGCATTTGTTATGTCAAACATTTCTTCTTCATTACTTTCATAGGTACTGAAACGTCTTATGATAATAAGTCATTAGCAACTCATTTTAAAGGAAATGCTCTTGCATGCGACTTCGTCCTCGCCGCGTTGCGGTCTTTATGAACTCATGAATTCTATCATAACTTATTGCGCACCAATTATTAGTCATGAGGATGTCAGCGAGTGCTTTTTTTGTTTGTTGCGTAATGTTTTTGAACATCTTATATTAGCTTCTTGTGAAAGGAAGTTGTTTTATTTCCGAGTGTTCTAACTTAGACAACTTCCGATACATCTTTAGTAGGAAATAAAAAAAAAAAATATTTTTTGAAAAAATTAGATTAGATTTTTTTTAAGTTATTTTTCAAAATAATTTAATATTTTTATTTTAATGAAACACATGCAAAGATTGCAAGTTCTTTTTCATACAATGCTCTCTGCTACTGCCATTCAAGAATGAGTTCAATAATGTCTTCAAACTGTTAATGTTATCTTTAACAAGAAGTTTGTGAAGATCTAAGTTTTCAGATGTCCAGACCATTAGCCTATCGTCATGACCAAACGTTATACTTCACAAGAGTTAGACGTTAGTTTGAACAAAAGAGTTTCTCGTGAATGTCAAAGATACTCATTATTACTGTCAATTAAGACTCTACAATTACTTCTTCAGTATTGCTTATAAAATCTTTCCGACAAAGAAAGAATATAAGAAGGGTGAAACAAATGTGAAATTTATCCTTCATCTCTGAAGACATAACGAACAAAGATGTATACAGAAATTCTTACCAAAGGTAATAGAAGAAGCTTCTATTGACATGACGAAGATAGTGAATGGATTGAAGAAATAGACCCTGAGCTATTTTAAGCAAAAAATATATTTTGTATAACTTGGATGTCACCACGTCACCATGTCACCAGGGTTAATCTAACTTCTTTTTAAAAAATTGATGCACAACATACATTTAGAGAACTAGGCCCGGAAAATTGAATGTTATCGTTAATTGTTATCGTTAATGTTATCGTTTATGTTATACGTTAATGTTAGTCGCTTAATCTTACAGTGTACGAACATATTGAACCGTAGGGATGGTCATGACTTCTGCGTAAATGAGTTGTTAAATAGCACAAAAAAAAAAAAAAAAACAATATATTTAGGTGAAGACGGTGATTATACTCACCGTTTTCACCTCATTCTCCTCGTATATGTTGTCGCTGACATCATCATTAATGTATGTCGTGACTTCATTCTTCCTTTTGGAAGTTATCGAAATATTCTGTTATTTTTTCCTTCAGTAATGTGTAAGTCTTCTTGAATGTAAGTATTGTGCAAAACCTTTGATGTCATAGTGTGTTGAGGGGGAAGAGTATTTTGACAATCTTCCTTTATAGGCTCATTCGGTGTCATTGAAAATCGGTAAGTTTCACGAAGAACCAGTTTCTGTCGATTTATTACTATATTTAGCTAAGTCATAAAGCTCTGTTGTTTCTTTTCTGACTTAAATTGCAACATAACACATAATCTTATCTTCTTTTTTCTCCAACTCTTTTTCAGTATAAAATATACTTATAAAATCTTTTCCTTCCTTTCTGGGTACTGAACGTGGTATTCTTTCTGTATGCTTTGTCTTTGGATTCAATGGACTTCAATCTTTTGCATGAAGTCATTTTCCATCTCTCCACGTTCTGCTTTTATATAGTTCATCTTAACATCATGAAAAGTATAACAAGCATAACGAGGTGAAAGCCCACATTTGCATACAGACGTTTACCTAAAAAGTCTATGAACATAATCAACCTATTTCAAACCAGGTGCCAAATTTCTTGGCAGAAATATTCGTAACGGGGGGAATCTTCTTCCGGTTATTCCGAGGGAAGCAACTCATATTGAGGAAAATTCTTCTAAAAGTTCTTTTGTCTGTTGGTTTCAACCATGATATGACTTGCTTGTAGAACGAGAAGCATTCATATACTTTGCATACGTGTACATGTTCATCTTTGACTGAAACGAATAAGACGAACTGTTTCGTTATTACTTATGTATCTCGTATCTTTCATTTATGCTTCAATGGACTATAACTGGAATTGTTGTGATTCCTGATGTCTGACATTATGTCTTTACATACAAGATAAAATTTTTGTATTTAGAAAAAAATTAGCTGTTATTTTCTGACTTTTCCAAACAAACAAAAATAAAACGTTATACATGTAATTTTTCAGCAACTTCGTCAAATAATTTATGCTCTTATCTAATCTATCATCTATCTTCAAACGTTTTCTTTAACCTTTCGTGGGAGCACCATTACATTTCTCTCAAAAACTTCTTCAAGCAGCTTTCTGTTTCAGCAGCTCTCATATGTCATTTACGAAACACAACCTTGACTCTATGACTGTACGTCATATTCTATTGAGTTATATTATATGTCCTTCCTTCTTATAAATCTTTTTGTGGTGAAGTCCTTCGGTTGGTCTGAACGATGTAAAGTAAGCCTTCACTGCCAACTTCTGAGTCGAATGAACCATAAGTTATGAAGTTATTATCCAACAACTAGGGTCTAACCATAACAAAACTATTTTGGTATAAGACTTTAGATCTATTAAGATATGCTCTTGTCCATGAAATGCTACTGATATCATGAGCTTCAGGATTTTCGTTGTCAAAATTTTCGAGTAGAAGCAATTCTAACCAGGTCCTTTGCATATCTCCAGAAAGTGTTATTAATGTCTGGACAAGGAGGATATATTGTTGTATTCTTACAGTATCTAC